AAGCTCTGCAGGCAATAAGGAGGAGAAATTGCTGAGATGCAGCTGAGCTGGCTGCTGCCAGGAGTAAATCAAGTCCCCAGAAGGTGTCTGGGAATATGAAGCCACATCCTAAGCATAGGAGCTGGTTACAAATCGGAGTCAGGCTGGGCAGAGCAGCAGCAGTAAGTTGGGGTTTGTGAAAGAAAGGGGAGGTGGAATAAAGCTCCTCTCCTCCAGCCAAAAACCCTTTCAAGTCTCCCACAGACCCACGAGGTGAGCAGCCTCTGCTCCCCGTCAGATGACCCAGGCTGAGGGATGTGTTACAGGGCCTGCCCCACTTGTGTGGTGCTTCACCCATGTCAACCCTCCCCACCGCAGCTGCTCACCACCTGCCCCACGGCAGCAGCTCCTGTCCTTGGGAGCACAGGTGAGCCTGCGAAGCAGGGGGCGGCTCCAGCACCCCGGCAAGGGTGCCCCCCGGGATGCAACTCACCTCTGCCGCAAGCAGTGCCTCTCCCGGGACATCACGCCTCCGCCGCAGGACCGGGAGCAGGTGGACCAGGAGCTCCACTCCCCCCACCACTTGGTGACCTCTTCGTCCCAGGGGCCAGCTCCATCTGCTGCCTCACTACTGTCCTGACAGAAACAGAGGACGGTTGGCTGGAGAATCTGCCTCCCCCAGCCACCCTGCCAGCAAGGTGAGCCTGCAGCCGTTATCCCGCTTTGGCTTCCCACATACCCAGGCCAGAGACTGCCGCGTGGGCAAGCGCCTCGTTCCTGAAAGGCAACTTTGGCAGAACTGAGCTCTCCTTGCCCTAAAGCCATCACTGCAGCAGGCTGTGGTTGGCTGTGCTCTCTATTTCCCACTAGGTAAGTGCTTCTATGTTTTAGCCAGATTTTTTTCATGGCAGTATCTTCCTCTCTTATGTTTGATGGCCTAAAAGCGCTCAGCGATTTTTGCAGATTTGCACGCGGAGGAATTTGTTGGCTGTTTACTGAAATGCAGCTGCGAATAGTGTTGAAGACGGTGATGAGTTTAGCACAGTACGGTGACTGGAGGTGATTTATCCAGCTGAAAATGCTGACAGTGCTCGAGTATTAATAGAAGAAAACGAATAATTTCTGTGTGTGTAAAGTCTGTTATGTTAAAGTAAGGGAGTACAGGGAAGTTATATCAATGCTACTGTTAGCAAAACATGCTGGCTTGTGGCCATGGCTGGTAGTCCCTTTGTGAAGAACTAATCTGCAAAACAGTGGATACATGTGAAAGAAAACTCAGCAAGGGTCGCTCATTGCTAAAGGTGCTCAGTCCACTGTTTTGGTCAACTCTCTCTTGGCTTTATGCTCTTTTATGGTGTAATAAAATTGAAGTATTACTCGTCTTGTAGTTTAATCTCTCCTGCCTGAGAACGCGCTGTTTCTACACCCTCTGCCAACAGAACATCATCTGGGCAGAGCAGATAATATTCGCATAAAAACAGCTGTAAGTTGTAACGTAGCAGGGTTGACATGTGCAGAGCGCGTCTTCTTGGTGACAATGCCACAGATAGATAGAGCATACTGAAAGTAACCTACTCTGTTGTAAAAAAAGCACCGTGTGACCTTATGATCTATTTTTTTAGTGATCACAATAACTGATTTTGAAAACAATACAACAGCTTAAATTCTTAGCTGTACTTTGATGTTCTGGATGGAGCTGACTTGTCAGAGACCAAACACTGTGGCTAGCAGCTAAGTTCATAACGGGAAAAAACAAATTTAAAAGAAACAAACATGTTTTCAAATATTCCTTTTTTGCTTTTGCCAAATGCTCATTTCAACCTATGTCCTATGAGCATTTTTGCCTGACTGTATTATCAGGCTCTAAATGCAAATGATGACTACATAGCTTTTGTAGTTACAAAGGGAAGAAATTAAAGGTAAGGTATTTTCAGCTAAAGTCTTTCCCTGACCCCTTGCACACCCCTCTGTGATAAGCGTCACGAGGCCTGTGGAGGGCGAGCTCTTCGCGACTGCCAGGAGAGAGGAGGACAGTGATTTATCTGGTGACGATTTGGAGTGCTCAACATAGCTGGGGTAAGACCTCACATCTATAATCAAAGCTGGTATCTTACCACGTGACTAAGTAGGCAAGAGCACCATGAGGCATATGGACTGCCTAGAGGGAAGGCATATGGATCAAAAGCAGTAGTGTAATATCTACGCAGTATCTCTAGCAGCAGAAATAAAAATCAGCGTAGCTGTGACCTGCAAGAGAGTCCTGCTCCAGAGACCTTTACGATCCAACTAGGTGAGACACGACAGAAGGGAAACAGCAAAGGGAAGTAAGTACCCTGTCCTCCAGACCTAACCCTGGAGATGAAAAAGATTTTGTGGATTTGCAGTACAATCCATAGACCCTATCGCTCTCAAGTGCAAGAGAGCTCTGCTGCCTGGGGGAAGAGCGCTATCGAGATAGGAGCCGCTGTCTCCCTCGGCCGGCCGAGGCACCGGGGTGCTCCAGGGTAGCTGGAGAGGGTAAAAGGCACGTTTTGTTCCCTGGCATTAGCTATGGCACAGTGGTGGAAAGCTATTGGCTCCTGGTCAGGCTTACTGCTCTTGGTTGCTGTGCCTGGATGCAGGGAGGCTGAGCATGCATTAGCAGTGTTGAGGTCTGGGGGGGGGGAACAGAGCAGGCTAGAAATACTGGAGCAGGAAAAAGGGCTTCAGTCCGGTGTTTATATGGTAGCTCTGCCCAGGCTTGGATGAGGGCTCTGCCCAAAGGAGGTAAGAGGATTAGGTACTGTTCCTTAGCTGAAGAGAAATAAAAGGGCTGGAAATTACAAGAAGATTGACCATATTCCCATTCAGCCAGGTGCTCTCTGCAGGAATTTCCCCTGAGGCACTTGTGGTTTGGCAGGCGGTGATTACACAGCTGCAGTTCTTCCTCTCTGAGGCCAACCAAGCACTGTCAGTGCCTCAACACCTACACTGGCAGCCTGCAACCAAGTAGGTGAGGGTCACCCCGCTGTCCTCTTCTTAGCACTAACCTCCACGCGACCAGAAACCTGGAAATAACTGCAATTACTCTGTCACTGGCCTGGCCTTCCTTACTGCTGATCGTTGTGCCTAACCTTCAGGCTCACGAGAGCCTGTGCCCCAGGAAAAAGCTGTCTAGGAAGAGAGACAACCAGCATCCCTATTTAGTTGTACTTATTAGAGAAACTGGGAAGGGGAATCTCTGCCCTGCAGGTCGGACATCCCTTGAGGCCCCGTCCACCACCGAAATGCAGGAGTTGCTGTAGGCTGCTCCACTCAATGTTGTCAAAGCTTGTAAGACTATTAGAAGCAGCAGCTGACAACAAATTAAACTCTCCACAGCCCTTCTCTGACTTCTTGTCCTCTACCAAGAATCTCCATGATCCCTTACTTAAGGGTTTCTCTATACAGCAAACCACGCTACCTACTGAAACATTAAGTGGCTTTAGATGTCTTAATGCCTGGAATGGAAAACAGATTCTCATCTTACGCTCTTGGAGATGAATGACCATGTTTAGCCGCCTGGTTTGGGTTCCCGGTGTCTGATTAAAGCTGTGGTGACAGACTCTACCACAGCGCTGAAAACACACTACCACTTACAATTTTGCCCTATGTTTTACAAAAAGCTGAGGTTTGTCTAAAGTTATTTCTCATTCTATCATTGCTTTATCATATTTGGGTAGACTAGATGGTTTATATGAGAGATTCAATTTCAGACACAGAAAACCAAATTTTGCTTAGAAAAATCAAGACAAGATATTTTAGAAGAAGCTTCCCCTAACGGGAGGGAACCAGGACATAAAATGAGCAATGTAGACTGATTTTTGCAGGATCGGGAAGAGCACCAACCTGAGGAAAAATCAGCTTGCTAAAGACGTGCTGTTGCAGCAGATAAACAACAGAAATCTGGACGTATAATGAGGCGCAGAAGAGAAACAAATCAGAAAGGCAGCGAACGGAAGCCAACTGAGAACTATGAAGTCCTGTTTCTAATCCTGCAGTGACAGAAAGTTCACAGGCAGCTGCTGCACTTCATTACAAAATATTTGATGCAAATAAGCCATTGCCTTGAAGTGGGATAACACGCTTATCCCGGGGCAAGCAGGTAGAAAAGATGGAAACGTGTGAAGGGAAAGAAGGGAGCAACATACGGGGTGCACGAGAGGTATCTACACCATCAGTTTTCTCAGAGGTGTTGAGCGCACCGAGTCGCGTTAGCCTCACAGAGCGAGAAATTTGCCTGCCCCGTCCAGGAATTTCTGTTACGTCCTCTGTACGGTCGTTTTGCACGTGGAAAATGGGGAGAACCGCTGGAAACCAAGCGCTGATGAACTGAACCCGCTCCTCGGGGCTTGAGTGAAGGTTTTTCACTCCTCTTTTGCTCGGCCTGACCCGCTCCCTCCAAAGCTTCTCTCTGCCTTAGCCCTACAGCGAAGGGGTACGCAGAAGAGGCAGTGAGCGTCTGGGCAGGTACAACGCTGCGAAAACAAGACGTTTCGGCTTGGGAAGGAAGGCAACAGCGGGGCAGGACGGGCCGCTGCTCCAGCTTGGGTTACCCGCGAGAAAGCGGCGGGCTCCGGTCTTCGCTGCGTCGCGCGAGATGGCTTCACCTCCGCCGCGGCTTTGCCTAAAAGACCCTCTCCTTCCTTTAGCAGAGCAGCACCGCTTCGGCGGCGGGGAAACCTGGCCGGGCGCCCGCGGGGGGGCGGCGAGGGGCGAGCCGCGGGGCGGCG